TGTAAAAAATGTAAACAAATTGAACTTTTTAGTATCATCCTTTCAATGTAGGATATTAAATTTGAAGTGTAAAGTTCTGTCTGGTTTCCTTAGTTTTGGATTGGGTCCCCCCTGTTGTGCTCGTCTCTGATATCTGATGTTTAAAATTTCGCTTTTGGAACTCCTGCGCATGGGAATCATAATGGAAACTCAGGGGGGTATACATAGCCTCCCAATGCAGGTGTTTTAGTGTTTATCAAGCGTTGGGATACCTGTAGTCCAATCTTTTGGAGTTCCTGTGGGGCACATCTAAACGAGGCTGAAATTTGGCGGGACCTTGTAAATATTGTGATTTTTGCACGATTTGTTCACGATATGGCAGACATTATCGATGATATCAGCTTTTAAGACTGCTGGAGCTTCATATCAAGAAGTGTTTCATCTTGTGCTTCAATATGTGGACAATATCTCGTAAAATCCCGAGTGCAAGCATCGAAAATAATGGTAAGAATCTACAACGAGGCGCAAAACTCTTGCAATAAGTATATCGCCAAAATAACTTCAACTGACCACCTGGGTACAAAACAAAAGACTGTTTTYTTTGGTATTAAAGATATTGTTTTGTACCAGATGGAACTAAAATGCCATGGAATTGAAGGGATCTGTCATTGCTTTATATACTTGGCCTATTTTTTATTTCCATGTTCATACTTGGCTGCTATCGTTTCATGGGCTTTCAGCTCTCAATCCATAAGCTTAATTCACAAACCCACATCACATAGTTTCCTCAGATCAAATAGGAAAAATAAATGSCATAATCGTAATCACATCATTGTACATACATGTTTTTAAAATGCATGGGTCCAGATTTTGGACCCCTTCTGCTATCCACTTTACAATAAAGACCATGTTGATCACAATGAAGTGAATAAAACCTGTTTCTTTTTTAAACTGTAGTGCATTTATTGGTTGGTAAGGAATACATTGTTGGACGTAAAGGTATGGTTTACATTTGTATGTTGGTACACCAACAGCTGTAAAATTATGTAAATTTTGATATATCACTATATACATGTAGGCATGGCTTGTGCATGATAAAGTGAAGGCGCATAATCTGTAGTCTCCTTCGCAGCCTAGGAAGCCCGACAAAAGTGTAGGCTGCGAAGGAGACTACATAATCCGTGGAAAAATATTTATTAGTCATATTTGTTTCATAGATTTACTG